CACCCTCCGCCACACATAGCAAACACAAACCGCACCCACGACAAACACCCCCGCACAGCTCACCACGACACACATCAACACAGCACACACAAACACACCACCCGCGCAGCGCGCGTGAGGTTCTCCACAATTTCCGCCTTTAGGCGCACACATCTCATACAGCACACTTAGGGACTGTGGGGATGGTCATTTCGCCTTGGTCCTGTCGGCGGCGTTGTTGTGAGAGGGGTTGCGCGGTCTATGGCTGACCAGGTTTAAACCACGCTGTGTGTTCGGCTGTGTGCATGTGCAGATGGAGTGGCATGACGTGGTTACATGTGTTTAAACCACGCTGTGTGTTCGGCTGTGTGCATGTGCAGATGGAGTGGCATGACGTGGTTACATGTGTTTAAACCACGCTGTGTGTTCGGCTGTGTGCATGTGCAGATGGAGTGGCATGACGTGGTTACATGTGTTTAAGCCACAGTGTGTGTTCGGCTGTGTTCATGTGCAGATGGAGTGTCATGACGTCGTGCTGTTCTGGAGAATCCAGCGGATGCTGCAGATAACGAGCAATGCGCTGCGGCAGCAGGTGATGAACACCGAGGGCAGACGCCTAGAGAAGGAGATTAAACAGGTGAGAGATGACGTGTGTGTGTGTGCGCCTTCATCACAGGTTGTGCTATAAAAAAATCACATGAAAAATCACATTAACATCTGTAAATGTTGAGCATGAGTTGGGACTTCATGACGTGATAAATAATTGTATAACGGCAAGTATGAAATCGTTTTTTCGTCGAGATGAATCCAAAATTTCTAACGTCGCTAGCTAATAGTGGATTCAAACCAGTTATACTTATGGTTGTTACTAGTGAAAAAAATACACGGGGGCTTGAGGCGATTTAGCCCCCCGAAATGCCAAAAAGAGCCACGGAAATTCCAAAAAGAGCCCTCGTAAATTTGCATAGAGTTCAATGCAAACCAAATTTTAGAGTGCTATTTTTATGCACGCGACCTTGAAAAGTAGCCCCCGAAAAATATATTTTTTTTTTTTCCCTGGCTTTGTTACTAGTTCTCAATAGAACCCCCGTATAACCCTATGAGTTGCTGTCGTTGCCTAGGTGCTGGAAGACTACAGTCAGACGCGCGAGAGGAAGGAGCGACTGCTGACCGGGCGACGCGTCCAGCTAGCCGAGGAACTGAGTGAGTCCAGCTGTTCGGTCTGCGCTTTCCGTTAGGAAGGCGATGTAGCTATCGACCGCGAAATCGGTGGCCGCGAAAAAAACTGCGGACGTCCCTGAATCTGCGGAGGATTCTCGTTATTTTGTCTCTCTCTCTCTCTCTCTCTCTCTCTCTCTCTAATTCTAACCCTAGTACCTCGGACCCTAACTCTAACCTTAACTTTAATGCAGACCCTGACCCTGACCCTGACCCTTACTCTAACCCTACCTCTAACCCTAACTCTACCCTAACTTTAATGCAGACCCTGACCCTGACCCTGACCCTGACCCTAACACTAACACTAACCGTAATCCTAACACTAACCCTAATCCTAACCCTAACCCTAAGCATATCCCTAACACCAACCCTAACCCTAACTTTAATGCAGACCCTAACCCTGATCGGATCAGATCCTAACCCTAACTCTCTAATCCTAACGTAAATGTCGTTTTCTTCTCTCAGAACGAGTCCGTCAGATCCAGGAGAAGCTGGAGGAGTTTGTTGAGGCGCTGAACAAGGAGAAGTGAAGCCACGGCAATGACAGACGCTCGCAGACGCTCGCTGACGAAGCCATCCTAGTGGACGACGCGCGCGGTCGTGCATCTTAATCATAAGCACTGCGCGTCTTGCTCTTCTCTCAGACCGTGCTATGGCGGGAGGGAAGGTCTGCATCTGTAAGGTGGGGAGAGTCTGTGGGTCTGCTGGACGACACCGCCACCAGGAGGAGGGGGGGGCGGCCACACGACTACAAAGCGTAACGAAGCGTAATTAATCTCCTCGGCCATTTTCGACCAAAGATGGATCCCTCGTAGGCTGTCGGGACTTCGCGCGCGGGCCATACATCGCGTTTTCCTGTCGCGTCGCGCGATCTGTTGGCGGCACTAGTTCACCGGCGTCACCGCGGCAACCGACAAGAGAATCGCAGCTTCGCTCTGCGTCGGACGCGAATGTGACGCCCTCTCGTAGGAAATACGTTTCGTTTTCGTTGCGAAAAAGGCACTGCGCTTGACGCTTGCACGATGGTCGAAGCGTTTGGGGGCGATTTCGTAGAATAATGGTCTAATTTATTTGCTATGTTGCGCACGAGCTTGAGGGAAAAATCCCGGTGAGCATCTAATGTTGTTTGTTCCAGGAGAGGAGAGCGAGAGCTATATATGTATAGCAGATTTTCCTCGATATGAACATGCCCTGTATATTTACTGCTTAATGTGAAATAAAAATAACTCAACATGCTATTATCTGGCTCTAGCTATAATAGATCGTATATTAGGTCTGCGTTATGTATCCATTGGTTACAGCTCGGCTGCCTTCGTAGGAGAAAATTACATCGCGAAAGAACTAAACACTGATTTCATAACATTTTAAACTAGACTACGTATGTAACATCAATATGCTATTTTACAATATACTAAATTTCTCAACATCGCCCATACATATACATATACATACTCAACATCTTCTTCCTGCATGCCCCTTTCTTTTTAAGCGGGTAAGGTTGGCCGAAAAGTATTGTCTTGGGTGGCTAAGGCGACGAGCGATCCGCATGCTATATTGCTCATGTACTTTACCGCATATTCAGTACAGGAACTCTGTGTAGAATTACAGTATAACAATATACACCTACATTTTTAGCTTACCTTGACATCGTCAAGATGAGCTATTGCCATGGGTCGTCGTCCGTCGTACGTCCGTCCGTCCGTTCGTCCGTCCGTTCGTCCGTCCGTCCTTCCGTTAACATTTGGCTACGGTCAACGATAACTCAGGAACCGTTTGACCCACATGTTTGAAATTGGGTATAGTTGTTACTGCTATGCTCCCATATTGAACGTCCTATTTTGGAGCACGCCAGTCGACGTAATTTCGAGCCACGGCAATTTTTTGGGAAAAATGGGAATTGCCATGTCAGTTCAGGTTCAACCGATTTTGCTCATTTTTGGTATGTGAATGAATAAGGGCCAGGGGTTTTGATATTTAGAAAAAGAATTATGCAAATGAGGTAGGTTTTGGTAATTATATAGCATATTATGTTATAGACACGCAGATAACAGTCTGTGGTGTCACACTCGTCTAGTTCGTTTTACAAGATTTCGTTGACAATATCTTTAATGCAAAATTGGTATTTCCTCTCCACCCTGCCGATAAAACGTCTATATTAGAGTAAAGTTTTACAAAACATGTCGGAACGCAGCATAACCTATTTATTTCGAACGCCATCGCTAAGAAACAAACTGGGGAATAGGTGTTAGACCAGAATTAGGCAAGAATCGTCTAGAATTTTGCAAATTTACCAACGTAAAAACATGTTTTCTCAGGCGAGAGTTTGAGGATCATATTTATGTAACGTTAGTTCTTAACTTTTAATGTAAAAAATCCAATTTTTTTTTTACAATTGTCTTAAACAACCATTGAAAATTCGTGACGTAGTAAATTTAATAGTCAGAGAGTAAGTGAAAATATAAGCAGTATAATAATAGAAGTAGGTAGGAGTATGTAGACGAGTGAATGGTACAAGATATATTGGTGACGTGAAGGAGCCGCAATAACTTTTGGCGCGAAAGGCAAAAATGCGACATCTGCGTGATGTTATCGATTGAGGAGTTCGGGTGAGTGTTTCTGTCTCACGGTTTAGAATTGTGCGAATCAGAATGTGTTTTTGGCGATGTGTCGTCACGGCATTGATTAGAGACGGTCTTGGGCGTTACGGAGATAGACAACACGTTGGAAAGTAAATCGCGCGTTGGAAAGAAGAGAGGGTAGGCTAGCGTGTTATCATTGTTCATAAACGATGCTCATTGTCATTCCATCGCCCTCTCTCCCACCCGCGCACTGGTTGACTCTTCTTCTCTCGCACGGTGCGGGGTATCTGACATTTCTCGGTGGTCATGAAACTGGAGTCGTGTGGAGGAGTCAGTATAAAGCCTAGCGCAAGACTTGCGATTTTCATGCACTCGCTGCGATGTGCATAAAAAGCGCAAGTCTGCGGGAAACGTGCAAGCTGCAACTACGTAAGCGATTCTGGTGCTTTGCAACGAGTTGCAGAAATCAACCAGGTTTGATTTTCAGACAACATCGTCGCTTCGCATTCGCTTCAAAGTCGCATGCGTGTGCGGCGTAATATGTGAGCAGTTTAATGTTTTTACGTACGTGTAGCGACCCATAAAGAAGCATAAGCTACACAGTAGAACTAGTAGCTATAACTAGTGACTAACTAGCAACTGAATCTCTAGGCTAAAACTACAAAGATTGCTCGCACCGCCTGGTTGTATAGATTAAACTGAGGCGTTCGCATCGTATTTTCAATATGGTCGAATTTCTCGCCGCTTTCTTGAGTGAATAATATTTGTTAATCAAATTCATATTATAAAATTTGTTTTTAATTGCACATACCGATAAGATAATCACATGGCGAAACCGCTCGTCCTATATCGAAAGGAGCGACGTTATATATTATAATATATATATATATATATATATATATATATATATATTATATATTAACGACCGCTTCACCATCGCACTGTTGACACTGCGCGCCCATTTTCTCCGGGAGGTCCCGCATGCCCATCCCTGCCATCCCGGCGGGTTGGCCATCCTGCCATCCCGGCCTGCTCGTGGACATGCCTGAAAATTTGACACGAAGCCAAATTCGGTTACTTGTCGTCTGTGACTCTGTGACTGTGACTGTGACTGATGATAATAGTCGCTCATCTTACAGCTCTTTGATATTTGAATTTCGCCCACATGAGTTACGAGTTAGGATTTCGTCAGACGGAGACATAACAAATTATTATAGCTAACTCACATCACCTGTCGTACACATACCGGCTTCCGGCAGACATACACACTCTAGACCGGACAAAGCCACCGAGGGGCGATATCCAGTGCTACGTTGTTTATACTACCTTAAAAGACATATCGCCTCGTAAAAATGAAACTCCGTCAGTATATATCAACTAGCTTGAGCTAAATAGGTCGATTACCGATAACAATATTTTCAATAAAAATAGTTGCAATAGTTAATACAAATCGATATATATATATATAATATATATATTATAGTGAGAGAGAGAGAGAGAAGATAAGAGGGCAAAGCGACACAGAGAGAGAGAGAAAGCGAGAAAGAGAGAGAGAGAGAGAGAGAGACGAGAGATAGAAGAGAGAAAAGAAAGAAAGAGAGTAAGCGAGATCAAAGAGAGAGGGAGAGGCGAGAGAGAGAGAGAAGAGGAGAGAGAGAGAGAGAGAGAGCGCGCGAGACAGAGAGAGAGAGAGGAGAGAGGAGAGAGAGAGAGAGAGAGAGAGATGAGAGAGAGAGGAGAGAGAGAGCGTGGGTTAACGCAGGAGAGAAGAGTAGAGACGACAAAGACGAGAGAGAAAGAGAGAGAGAGCGAGAAAAGAGAGAGAGAGAGAGACGAGGAGAGGAGAGAGAGAAGCGAGAGAGAGGGAGAGTGAGGAGAGAGAGAGAGAGAGAGAAGAAGAGAGATAGAAGAGGAGGAGAGAGAGAAGTGACTTGAAAATTGAGAATCGCGTAACGAACAGATAACCTTCATAGTTACCATGCGCAGCTAGAAGGAGTGGTCTAGTACGTTATTGTACGCTCCAGCTCCATCAAACGCGCTGCAACGAACAGACGAACACACACACCCAGAACACTTGCACGCGTACCGAGGTAAGTACCGCAGCATGAGATTCAACTCTTTCCTCGCCTAGCTCAGCGTCGGCTTATGGCGTTTACTCGGGGCTGTCCGAGCATCACGAGGGGTGTTGCTACCCCCGGCGCGTGGACGGAGGGGGGGGGGGGGGGGGCGGTCACGTGCATACAGTTGACGGTATATCTTCAAAACTTAACGAGTACCCATAACACTAACTCCAACACTAATCCTAACACTAACTATCTATATAATATCGGATCCTATACTATAGGGAATAGCCAATACCACCACAAAAAATTAATCTATGGTGTGGGCGACAGAATATCATGATGCAAAAACGGGCCTAACGCCTAACCTGATCCTAACCCTAATCCTAACACTAGTGCTGCCACGTTTTGCAGTACTGTCCTCCCGCCGAGAGATAGGCATTTCCCATCGCAGAGGTGGGACTCTAACCACACACACAAACAGACACACACACACAACACAACACCCCACCACACACACACACACACAGACGCACGCACGCGCACGCACTATCACACCACAGGCCACACACACACACAGAGGCCCACACACACCACCACACACACACACGCACACACACACACACCCACACACACCGCCACACACACCACACACACACACACCACACACCCACACGCACACACACCACACAGACGCACGCACGGGCTGGCAGGGCACACTACAGTCACACACACAGACGCATGCACTACACGCACGGCACACCCCGCGTCACAGACTTGCAGCAGACACACACCGATGGGGATCTTCGAAAGATTTATTTACGTAGCTCTGACTGGTCACTCGGGATGTTTTAACGAAGCGGGAGGCCGCATGTCCGCTAATAACTTCACTCTTGGATAAACAAGAAGCATTTCTGATTTGCGAAAGCTGAGAAGACTCCGAGGTGGCCTGGCCGGTGTCTCGTTACCCGACGTGACGGTCGGTGTGTGTGTGTGTGCGTTTTGCGTGTGTGCGTCTTGTGTGTGTGTGTGTGTGTTGCGTGCGTGCGGCTGTGTGTGCTGTGTGTGTGTGTGCGTGCGGGTGGCTGTTGTGTGTGTGTGGTTGCTGTGTGATGTGCGTTGGTGATTGCTGTGTGTGTGGTTTGTGTGTGCGTGCGGTGCGTGGTGCGTTGCGGGTGCGTTGCGTGCGTGCCGTTAATTTAAAAACCCGCGCAACCCTTAAAACCGTCACACGGTAAAAAAAACCGGAAAACGGTTGGGAGTTGGGGTGGTGCGGTGAGGCGGTTAAATATTCTCTTACACGTACGTAGTTTAACACAGACATTTATTTACACGTGATCTGCTGGAAAGTGTAGATGGCGTAGTCGCCGCGGCGAAGATAGTTGAAACAATGAACAGAAAATACGTTGGCACGTTCAGACGATTCTGCAGACATGACCAGGAAGTGTGCAATGAGCACTGTAGCTCAGCACAAAAAAAGGACACAATCGAGTGAGTGAGAAGAAGTCAGTTTTAATTGCAGCAACCATCGACGCGTACATTATAGAAACAAGAGTATAATATGGGAGAACTCCAATTATATTAGCTCTCTGATATTATTGTGTAATTTTTTATGTGAAAATAAACGTGTTGAGATGTGATAGTCCTAATGTGGGCGAGTTGATGGCGTTACACCTAAATGATCGCATTTAACGTTTTTATAAATAATTCAGCATTTAGGAACTGCCTAAGCGGAGCTCACCGATGTGTAAGCGTGTAAGATTTGCGAGGATCGCTTATTCCAGCGTAGCTGCTATATACCACATGACAATGGTTTTTCCGTGCCCATAACACAACTTTTGTCAAAAGTTAATTGGTTGGGCATGAAGTGTTTACTTATGCAGTTTTTTCTAGGCGGTAGCACCCGGTGTGCCATCTGTATCGTCGCAATATACATTAATTTATAAACCTGAAAACTGAAATAATCACAAATTTGTGACGGTAGAATGGCGCTATACCCGCCTTTTGAT